CTGGCCGCATTCCTTTGAAATTTGAAGTTCCATATTCAGAACGTAGATACAATGATACCAGAATTTACATGTCAGTATAACAATGTGATGTTTATTCACATGCAATGAACAAAACTTAGGGTTGTAAGGATAAGGTACTGAACCATTTTGGTTAACATGGCTTTTATATTATGACAATTAACCATTTACCCTTAAATCCATACTTTTCTTTTTTTTAATCAACTGTTTTTTGACATTTCTTTTGTTTATGTGTGTGCGTGGGGGGTTTGATGATATACTCCTACTTGGTTTTTAGAAGGATATGTTAACAAGGTACACCTTTGAGAGTAATTTACCTGAGTTGTAACTTGCTAGATACTCTGTGTGTGTGTGGACATATATTTATTCCAGGTTATCTACAAAATTTCTGATAAGAATCATAGAAAACTTGTATGAGTTTGAAATTTTGGGTTGGTGACTCGTGTGTTATGACATTATAAAAAATGATTTAGTCCAAAGATTAATATGTTCATAAAATAAAATAAAAAAACCAATATGTTACGAGTGCTGGATTTGTGTTTATACAATGAGTTTGAAATTCTGGGTTGGTGACTCATCTGATATGTATGACATTATAAAAATGATTTAGTGTCCGTTTGTTTAAACTTTTTTTCTTATAAAAGAGTTTCTTTAAATAAAATAAACACTTTTTTTACTTTTTGATATGTTTGTCTAAACTTTTTTTTTTTTTAAATAAGCAGTTTTTTACTTTTTTCTTTAAGAAGTAACTCCTATTTGCTTCTTAAAGAATATTTTTTTTAAAAGCACTTGTTTAGAAATACTTCTTTTTAAGTTTAAACAAACAAACCCTTAGTGCAAAGTTTAACATGTTCATAAAAAAAAATACAACTATGTGGTTTGAGTACTGGATCTGTGTTGATACATTATATGCTTCTTGTTGTAAAACTTCCTTACTTATAGTTATTCTCCTCCTGCCTTAGTTGCGGCCTATTTAGGGGCTGCCTTAATTTCAGCTTCAAGGGTGATGGTTTAGTCTCACATCATCTGAAGATATAGTTTCAATAAAGCTTATAAAGTTTGGGTAGTATTTACCTTATAAGTTGATTTTATAGGTTGAGTTAGGCCTCAAACCCAAATCCTAAGACTTAGTGATGGAATGTTGTCATGAACGAGTTAAACTCAATATTCAGGGACTATTCTTCAGCAAGAGCATTTTAGTTGATTTTCTTTTCCAAGAGTACTTTAGGAATTTTTATCAACCTCTCATCTCTATTTTTTTTTTTAGTTTTATACTAAAGTTAAACATTTTTTAGAATATTTAATATAAACTATAGTTATATAAAGGAAACATTTATCTCGTACATTGCACAAGTTAAAATATTAGTTTAATCATATTTTCTTTATTTAATCCTTCTGATAATATTACCTTTCCTGACATGAGAAAGATATTGTCTCAGGTTTTTGTTTCACGTCCAAGTGGTGAAAAGTATTCTAGTGTACTTTGTCCAGGGAAGCCAGAGATATTAAAGCAAGTCTTTATAACTTTAATTTTATGGTCACTAATTTACTATTTTTAATGCCAGTTTTAAATTCTTTGAATTTAATTAAAAAAACTATGCACGAACTTCTCAGACAAAATCCAGTATCAGGGATTGAATCATGGGATTGGAATATAAATGGAAACAGTTCCACATATCATGCATTATACCCAAGGGCCTGGACAGTATATGAGGGTAAGCTAGGGTAGTTGGCATAGTTCCAAGTCCATTATTTATTTTTAGTACACTCTATCTCTCACATTGATCATCTCTCCTGTCCAAATGCAGAACCGGATCCAGCTTTGAGAATAGTTTGTCGTCAGATTTCACCTGTTATACCCCATAACTACAAGGAGAGTAGCTTTCCTGTAACAGTTTTTACTTTCACGGTAGGCAAGAGTGACTTCCATATAACTTTTGGTTAGATTTGATACATATAAAGTTAACAATAAGCGGTTAATTTTATTCTATGCAGATTAAAAACTTAGGTAACACAACAGCAGATGTTACCTTGCTTTTCACATGGACAGTAAGTGATACTTTTCTTTTGGCCATTTCTGTTACGGTCAGTTGGTTTTTAGCAGTCTATTCTTTTGTTCTGCCACTGATTGTAACAAACAATTTGCTGTGTTTTTCAGAATTCTGTTGGAGGAATTTCTGAATTTACTGGTGACCACTTTAATTCAAAGATAATGTAAGAAAATTTGTCAGTTGCTTTGCTTTCTTTATGCAGATGTTCCAAATTGATTCCCCCCAAACTTGTCTATACTCTATAGTTTATTCTAACATTCAAGATAAGTACTATCTCGTGCTAGGATGAATGATGGCATTCATGGTGTGCTTCTACATCACAAGTAAGTCTAGCTTGTTACTCTCTTTTTGTGCAAAAGATGAAAAGAGAAACAATTCTTAATTTTATCAATTAATGTAATTGATATATTGCATATACAGGACTGCAAATGAGAGATCTCCAGTCACATTTGCAATTGCAGCAGAAGAGACTGAATATGTTCATATCTCAGAATGTCCCGTGTTTGTCATATCTGGTGCTTACAATGGTATCTCAGCTACGGATATGTGGCATGAAATTAAACAGGTTAGGGATCTGCTTTCAAATTTCATACGTGTTGTAAGATTTTTGTTCAATGTTATATTTTCCTTCATTCTGTCTTCTCACAGATGAGCTAATTTTTTGCTGTAAGCATTTTATAAAGCAATTAATTTGAGTTTTCTTTATTTTCTTTTCCTTTGCTTTTGGGTGTCTGAATTTTTTTGTTTTCATTTATGACAAACATCAAAACTGGTGAGTATCTTTGAACATCACTCTTACATAATGTTGCAAGCTTAAAGAATCATATATCTTGGACTGTTGAACCATTTATTAATTTCCCATGCCTCCTATTCATTCATAGGAATAGTATTGATTTTTTTGCAACTATGGAGTTACAATTGCTGAAGTTTATATGGGCATCATATTTACTAATGGTGGGATGAAAATAACTTTAGAAAAGCACATTCTCCACATTGTGCGTGATCTCAAGTGAGGTGTCAATGTAGGCTGAATCAACACCATTTACTAGCATATTATGTTTTGTAGCAGCACGTGTCTTATTCCTTTCTTTCCCTTTCTTTATACAGATTTATTTAGTCGGATGATTTATTTGTATTGACTTCCTTATTTTTTGGTAATTAGGACAAATTTCATTGTTTTTTGTGATTGCGCCAGATTTGTTGCTCGCAATTCCTAGGTTAGCTTTAATTCCCTAATCTATGTATATTGTTATCAGCTGTGTACAATTGAATTATCAGAAATAATATTCAGTTTTCATATTCCGAGTTGGTGTTGGAGCTCTCGAGTTCATCATTGAGGCCATCATTTTCGTACTAGAACCCTAGTCACCTTCATTTCGGCCAGCTATAGGTTGCCCCCATTGCAATGCAACCATATAGTTGACAGTGCCTTTGTTGCACTTCAACCTCTCTACAATGACTCTGTTGCACCAGCAGCCAGCTCATTGTCAACCAGTGACTCCAGTGCCAGAACCACCATCTGACAACCAGCTCATTCCCATAAACCTGTGCCATCCGATTTTCCATGTGCCCTTGCGGGCATGTCCTTTGTCTTGGCATTTCCAGCATGTGCAGCTCACACACTGCCCTGCCGGTCTTTGAGCCACCATTGGTGATGGAACTAGGTGAGGAGATTGATGATTCCTTCACGAATGAAGGAGGAGGAGATCCCTAAGACAACATTTAGAACCCATGAAGGACATTATGAATATCTCGTAATGCCTTTTGGGCTCATGAATGCCCCATCTATATTTCAGGCGTTAATGAATGAGGTATTTCGTAATTTACTTAGAAGAGGAGTATTGGTGTTTTTTGATGATATATTCGTTTGTAATGCAAGTTGGGAGGAACATTTGGCTCAATTAAGAACAATTCTGGAAATTTTAAGAAAACATAAACTATATGCAAACCGGGAAAGATGTAGCTTCCCTTAGGAGAGTTTAGAATACTTGGGGCATGTGATATCCGTGCAGGGAGTGGAGATTGATCCCGCCAAAGTCAAAAGCATAAGGGAGTGGCTAGTTCCAGAGAATGTGAAGGGAGTAAGGGGATTCCTAGGACTTACGGGTTACTATCGTAAGTTCATTAGGAATTATGGAAAAATTGTGAAACCTCTTACGAAATTAACTAAGGAGGGGTTTATGTGGAATGAAAGGGAACAACAAGCATTTGAAGAGTTGAAACAGAAGATTACCACAACTCCAATTTTAGCTCTACCCAATTTTGAGAAGGAGTTTGAACTTGAGTGTGACGCGTCAGGGTTGGGCATTGGGGCCAATCTGATGCAAGAATGCATGCCCATAGCTTTTTTTAGTAAGGCCTTGGGAAGTAGGAATTTAGCAAAATCTGCTTACGAAAAGGAGTTAATGGCAGTGACTTTATCAATTCAGCACTGGAGGCCATATTTTATTGAACGCAAATTTAAAGTTTATTCGGATTAGAGAAGCTTGAAACAGTTACTTCAGCAAAGAATCACAAATTGGAGCCAACAAAACTGGTTGGCTAAATTATTGGGGTATAACTTTGAGATTATCTATAAACCTGGCTTGGAAAACAAAGGGGCGGATGCTTTATCAAGAAGCTTTGAAGAAGGTGAGTTGAAGACCATGGTGTCCATGCCAATCTGGCTTGATTGCCAAAATGTCGTAGGAGAGGTTCACAAGGATGAAAAATGGAAGAGGGTGATTGAAGACTTGCAACAAGATTGAGAGGCTCATCTAGGATTCACTTATTAGCATGGTATTCTATTTTTTAAGAACAAAATTGTGATTCCAACAAAGTCTCCTTGGATTCGCAAATTACTTGATGAGTTTCACTCAACTCCTCAAGGAGGCCACTTCGGATTTTTAAGAACATATAGATGCGTAGCTGTAAATCTGTATTGGCAAGGAATGAAGACTGATATCATGAAGTATGTGCAATCTTGTGATACTTGCCAACGTCAAAAGTATACTACTGCTGCCCCAGGAGGATTGTTGCAACCATTGGCTATTCTGGAGAGGATTTGGGAGGATATTTCTCTCGATTTTACACAGGATTGCCTAGGTCCAAGGGCTTTGAAGCAATATTGGTGGTTGTGGATAGTTTATCCAAATACAGTCATTTCATTGCTTTGAAACATCCATATACAACAAAAACCATAGCTGAAGTATTTGTTAAGGAAGTGGTAATACTTCCTGGGGTGCCCAATTCGGTGATTAGTGATAGGGACCCTCTCTTTATGAGTCTTTTTTGGAAAGAATTTTTCAAGATGCAAGGTACAAAGCTGCTCATGAGTTACATCATACCATCTACAAACGGATGGAGAAACGGAGGTAACAAACCGCTGTTTAGAGACATATCTGAGATGTTTCATTACTGATCAGCCCGAGGGATGGGCTCTATGGCTTCTTTGGGCCGAATATTGGTTTAATACAACTGTTGGATAGGAATCCCAAAATTTATGGGATATTATTATGTTGTAGAATTTCAGGGATTAATTTATGGGATACAACTGTTGGTTTAATACATCTGTGTAACTTCGCCAAATCTCAGTTTTTTAAGCAATTATTTGAGCCAAATAAGCTCACAAGTAGCAGAGGCCATAGCACGAAATTCTGCATCTGCACTAGATCTTGTCACTACATTCTACTTCTTACTTTTCCAGGAAATCAAGTTATCACCAATAAAGACACAATAACCTGAGGTGGATCTCTTGTCATAGGGAGAGCCTGCCCAATCTGCATCCGAGTACTCCACAACTTGAGTATGATTGTTGTAGTCATATAATAAACCTTTTCCTGGAGCACATGGAGAATTGAGAAATTGACTCACCACACTAACCGCAAAGGAGATGTCAGGACGAGTTATCGTGAGATAATTCAATTTCCCAACTAATTTTTTGTACCTCTCAGGATCTAAGAAAGGCTCCCCCTGACTTGGTAGAAGTTTAGCATTAGGGTCCATATGTGTATCAACGGGTTTGGAATTCATTAGCCCAGTTTCCTCTAAAATATCCAATGCATACTTTCTTTGAGATATTACAATTCCATTTTTAGATTGTGCTACCTCAATCCCCAAGAAATATCTAAGTTTACTAAGGTCTTTTGTCTGAAAGTGATGGCAAAGATGTTTTATCTTAGAAATGCCATGATGATCATTGCCAATAAGAACAATATCATCAACATACATTATCAAGTAGATGCACCCCAAAAAGGTTGAGGAACGTATCCATAAAGTAAGAGGGTGCGAGTGGTCTCAATTAGGTGTCTATTTTTGCGCTCGGCCACCTCATTTTGTTGAGGGGTATATGTAGAAGAGGTTTGATGAAGAATACCATGGGAAGCCATGAAGGCTTGAAAGGAGTGAGAAAGGTTTCCACAAGCATTATCACTACAAAAAGTACGAATAGAAACACCAAATTGATTCTGAATTTCATTATAAAAAGATTGAAATATGGAAAATAGTTTGGATCAAGTTTTCATTAAAAATAGCCAAGATGTGTTTATATACAAAGTAGTGGGCCTAGGCCCATAGGATAAAACTATATCTAACACTCCCCCTCAAGCTGGTGTATATAGATCATATGCACCAAGCTTGTTACAAATATAATCAATCCTAGGACCCCGTAATGATTTGGTGAAGACATCTGCCAACTGATCAGTAGAGTTAACAAACTGAGTAGTAATGTCCCCAGATAAAATCTTCTCACGAATGAAGTGACAATCGATCTCAATGTGTTTGGTCCTCTCGTGAAATACTGGATTTGAGGCAATATGAAGGGCAGCTTGGTTATCACATATGAGAGTCATCTGTGTAACTTCGCCAAATCTCAGTTCTTTAAGCAACTGTTTGAGCCAAATAAGCTCACACGTAGCAGAGGCCATAGCACGATATTCTGCTTCTGCACTAGATCTTGCCACTACATTCTGCTTCTTACTTTTCCA